GGGAGCCCCAAAACTTCGGGGGGGAGTCATAAAAAATCGAGGGTGGAAGAGACGAAAGCATTCACGGCTGCCCCCCCCCCCCCCCCCCCCCCCCGCCAGCCGGCCCACCTTCAGGTCCAGCAGCCCCGGCCGTTGACCGTTAACGCCCGCCTCGCGCCCCGGCCGCTGGCGGGAGGCGGCCGTAGGGCCGTGCGCAGACCCCCTCAGGTAGCCGGCGGCAGGGTGGGCCAGCCGGGAAAGGTGTGCGACGCGCAGGGTTATTTATTCGTTACTGCAGCCCCCGCAAAGGATGGCCCGGCCTCCCGAGGTTAAAATAAATAAATAGAAAAATTAAAAAAAAAATAAAAATGAGCGCACACTGTGGGTAGAGTGGTTTGAAGCCCGCGCGACTGGCCACACGCACGTGTGGCGAACGGGAATTGACAAAGCTCAAAATGATCTCACGTGGAGGCGTTTCTCGCCTTGAAAATTCCGCTTCAAGTCGCTGATGTCCTATCAAGCCATTTTCCGAATCGCTGGCCTACCTAGAAAACACCTATCTAGTTATATCATAAAAACAATTGTGCTTGCAGTCGCGTCTCCTCCCTGTTAGCCGTTTCACGTTTTGTCCGGCATTAAATGAACTTAAGCAATATTATATGCTAATCACTTATAATACTCATTTTACAGTTATTTCTGAAAGATGATTGCTTAACATTTTAATAAACCCACATTTACTGTAAACTTATTTAAAGGGTTCTTCGACTGAAACGTTACATGTGAAGTTTCAACTTCAATATGCTTTCCTGTACAGGAAATTTAGAGACCTACTGCACCATATAACGCAGTAATGGAAGCATTGACACGGTTTTAGTTATGATACTGGGCAGAGCAATTGCAAGATGACAGTGTTTAAAAGCAAAGTTATGGCTAAGGATGCAATAATTTATTTCCCATTTAAATACTTCTACAAAATTTAATTTATGTTCCAAAAAAGAATAAAAGTAAAGGCAGGGAGTAATCTGTTTTCAATTACATGCTGCAGAATCGTTAGTAGGCCAGAGAATAACTTGGAATATTTTTCTTATTGGGCCAGCACTGTAAGAACATGAAGCATACAGGATTTTATTGCTTCTCTTCTGGTTCAGTAGCTTAAAAGATTAATTAAAATAGGCATTTGTTTTATCTGTGGACTGTAAATTTTTTTTTTTCTATTCCTCATATATTTTCCAATGATGTTCATATGTGTGTGTTGATCAACGCTTCCTAAACTGCTTAGAGATAGTGGATACTTTTTGACTGAGAACATCAGATACTATTGAAAAAAATGCCTCAAACTGGCCACTGAAGAATCAAGGTACCCCTAAACTAATAGTCTGTATGTCCAAACCATAGACAGTTAGCTCTGGCTAACCTGTATTGTTTGCATTGTATTACTTTTTCTCATATGAATTATATATAACTAAATTAAACTTTAGTTTTTACTCACACAAGTGATATTTACCTTCCAGTCAATATCCCATCAATAAGAATTTATAGGATTTAACCTCAAGTTTGCATTAAGTATTACCATTAGTCAGGATTCACAAACTAAGTATACGCATAATAAGCATAAATATATCTCTTCTTGTGTGATAAGGTCTTGAATGCTGAGTTATTCTACTTTGTTTTCCTAAGTTTGCATAGCTACGTAGCAGCCAGCCCTCTGTTTGGAAAGACATTATTAAAAATATAGTCAAAGAAATTTAAAGCATTGCTTATGGTACCATTAAATATATTGCAAATAGCAGTAAGCTGTGTCTGCCAATTATACCATAAAAAATGGCTTGCGTAGTACTAGACCTTCCCCTAAGTACCACATAGCTCAGGATTTGTACTAAGTACTAAAATAACCAGAATCAACGGGAGAATGTTAACTTAAAGTGAAGCAGTAAAGCTAGCATCTGTAGGTGGAATGAACTGGATTTCACAATGTGTGTGTGTGTCATTGAGTTTGTAGGGACAGCATCAGACAAAGGTTTCTGTTCCTTAAATTTTGCTTCTGTTTGCTGCTGTTGGAGTTGGACAGCAATCTTCTTCCAGAAGGCTTCAAAAATTTTTTCACTGTAAATGATTTAAACAGAGTGCTTGCTTTTTACCCTACATATTTCTCCCTTTCAGACTTTGGATGGCTTTGTTTTCGTGGTAGCATCAGATGGCAAAATAATGTACATCTCAGAAACAGCGTCTGTACATCTTGGCTTATCTCAGGTATGAGTGATTTATTCTGTCTATCAGTTAAACACAGATACTGGATTTGGAACACAACACTAGTATCTTGCCAAGTATATAATGTCATTGTTTTCAGGGATATTTGAAGCTTCGGCTTAGTTCTCTGACAAATGGTCTTACTTAAATACTCAAGTTCCCTTTACTTACAGCCACATCATGACTGTCTTTATATCTTTTCTTGTTCATTGTATTTTACTCCTCATTACCTTTAAGAAGGGTAATAAATAATATGATATTGCAAATTGCAGATATGTACAGAGCTTGAAACCCAAACCTATTGCCTGTGTGGTAACGCTATACGTCTGAAATAAAGTTTAGAATTCAAGTCTATATATTTTAGATTGTGTAAGATATTGAGACTTGCTATGAAATAGAGAGGAAATCTGATGTGGAACATGAGTTTTATGGTAAATGTGCTTTAGGAAAAAAAGAAAAGGGGGGCAGATTTATGAGTGTTCACATGGAATTCAGGGTAGTTTTTCCTGAGTTTTTCCAGCTCAGTGGTCTTTTCAGTAAAGCGTTTTATATGGTTGTGATAGAACTCATAAAACTCAGTTTACTACTGTTCTGCACAAGAAGTATAAGGGGTTTTTTATTGTTTTGCTTTTTTTTTTTTTTTTTTTAGAAGGACATTTCTGATTTTTTGCCTTCTTGGGATAGGCACAAGGGCAAATAGCCTGAATTTATTGCAGAGTGCAAGCTTCCATACCTTTGTGTGTAAATGTATTACACAAATTCATTGGCAGCACCTGACCTAAAGCTTGCTGCAATTCAATAGAAAAACTCCTAATTAATTTCACTGGGGCCTGGATGAGACTTGCAAGAAACAGAATTGTTTCTTCATAACCAGTTGCAGCTCATACACTTATCAGAGTAAAATGAAGTGAAATGAAGACAAGCAGAGGGAAGAAAAATGAGGAGATGAAGGTAAGAGAGCACAGGATGCTCTGAAAATGTCTGGGGAATATGCCCTGTGGCTATTCCAATAAACAGAGAAGGGTCTGAGTTGGGGAGATTATATGTGTACTATAACTTTGGTAGTAACTAATATTTTTGATTGAAAAACTGTGAAGTTCTTTGGATGCGTGTTTATAAAAGCAATATTAGAATTAGCAGCTGTGAGAAAAAATAGAAGTCCAAATAGCTAGAAAAAGCAAGTATATTATCTTGTAAACACCACTTCTAAATCTTTTTTTTTTTTTTTTTTTTTTTTTAATATGTAAACTTAATACAGCGAGGGTTTTTTCCTCCCCCGATTTTAAAGACCTAGTAAACCGTAATCATTTAACGGCCGTTTTTATTGTGGGAGGTTAATTCCTGGTCACAGAGCTGGGAGCTGTTTTAACTGTTCGCTCCGGCGGGGGATAAAAACCTCCAGAGAAACCCTGTTTCGGGGAACGCGCCCCAGCCGCCGCTCTCCTCCCGCCCCCGACCCCGGTCGCCAGGGG